GGAATGATCCTTGGAGTTATTGATTCATATATATTTGAAAATATAAATATTTTGATATTCATAATCACCAAAATGGTTTTGTTGTTAAAGGTTCAAGTAAATCATTTGTGAATGATCTATGAACGTTAGAAAACATTTTTATAAAGTTAGTTTAAAGCTTAGAAGCTTTTATGGTGTTTTGAGAAATTGGATCGAAGGTTGAAGATGATGAATAGCAACTCTGTTTTTCCTGCGAACGGCCATGTGGATCCAACGATCGACCGTTACGAACACTTTAAGTCCGAAAATGCTATTTTTGAAGATATAAAATCCTGTTTTTGATATATCAATAAAAATACAATTTCTTAGAGTAAAACAAATGATGTTTGGACAACTAAAGAACCTTATATGATGTATGGCAATAAGCTAGGTGTTAACACTCGATCCTAGGCCGCTATTTGTTATTGGATATTATGATGATTATTATTAATGTTGTTTATGATCAGGCTTTGATGAATATTCTTATTAAAATAATAATTATGAATGATTGAGTCATGATTAAAAATGAATATATTGATAATTATGAAAATGATGTGTATTGTTAAGGATATCTAGAAGAACTCTAAGATATACCCACTTGGAAATTGATGATGATTATTAAGGATAACTAGAAGAACTCTAAGATATACCTCCTTGAACAATTCATAATTCGGGGTTAAAACGTACGTACGGGATCCAGACCAGATATCACCCACCCGCTAGATCACTGTTCGGTTTGGTATGTAATCCACGTGACTCATAGGGTGGATTATCGATTTTTGTGTTCTGCATTAAACTATTTATAGTTTAAGGCCCTGGTTAGAAATATTGCCTTAGACTAGTTATAGTTATCGAGCTATGTTATCAATATTAATTTGACTTAGACTAAAAATAGTTTAAGAATATTGATATGATTTAGCCTTAACTTAGTGTAAGTTAGGAGCACATTGTGATAACATTTGATATGAAATTATGTGTAACAAATGATGAATATTGTGATAACAAAAGTGACATGTGATTATTGTATAAGTTTGAATGATGATATTTAAGAATTGACTATGTTCATTATCCTTGTTAAAATAATAAGATGAATTTAAATATGAAAAAAACAAATATTTTAACATATATATGTGATTGGATTGTTTAAGAAACTATTCTGTGAATTCTTTTGTTGTGTCATGGTACCACTCAGCTTCATTGCAGAGCGTGTAGAATTTTTCATCTTTCTACGTAGGTATGAGAGAGAATAAATATGGAGCCTATTCTGGAGATTACTTAGATGGAGGTGATGCGTGGACATGCACAAAATCTACTATTTAAGAAAATGATTTTATCAAATGGTTGACCATATTGTTGTAGTTTGCAAATCGCTTCCGCACTATTTTAAATAATTTTACTCTGATGTTATTACGAAATATTTAGTACAATTGTTGAAATAAAGTTTTTAAATGTTTGAAATTTTTACGTTACCAAGTTAATACTTTAGTCCAAAAGGGGCTGTAGACCTGGACGGATTAGGGTGTTACACAAACAATAGGTGTAACACCCTGCAACCCGGTCTAATAGAATTGATTAATTTAATTAATTAATTACTATTCCGGACCGGAGTTGGGGAAAATAAAAGTTCTTAGAAAAATTATTTGATCATATCATTAAATTCGTTTTGACTATCTGATTCCAGAAGCGCAAACGGTTCTCAGTTCGGACTCGTTCGGGGGGGAAAGCGCGTACCGTTCAGGTCAGATTTTACATAACGGAACAAATTTAGGGAGGTAAAACTCCCCATCTAATTAACACACCACCCCTTTACACCCTATTCATGCCCATTTAATTCCCCCATTATTTTCCTCATTATTATTCACAATTTAAAACCCCAACCCACTCCCTTCATCAGTGACGGATCCAGAAATTCTGGTAGATGGGGGCACAATTGATCGAGGCAGCGCCCCTGATTTTTTTATTAAAAAAAGACAATTTGAAATGACAAAAATAATAAATTTTATTTTAAACATTTATTGAAGGTAAAATTTTATTTAATCAGTAATGTAAAATTTTATTTTAAACAATAAATTAAATGCAATAAAATACATTTTACTTCAATAAGATTAAACAAAAAATTAAAAGTTAGCTTAATTAAATAAGGTTCCATTAATTTTTGTAGGGAGTAAATAATGTGAGATGGGGTCAATATCAAATTTAGATGGGGGCATGCATCTTAAAATATAATAATTTTTTGTTTTTTAAAAAATTATTAGTTTAACACCAAAATTTAGTTGGGGGCATTTGCCCCCAATTGTTTGGGAGTAGATCCACCCCTGCCCTTCATTCTCCTTCCACTTATTTCTTCATCAAATCTCCATTATCACCATCCATCTTCCTCCTTCATGTTCGGCCAGGCCAGCAGCCAAGGAAGGTCTCCGGCGAAGCTCTGGTGGGTGCATGGTTGAGGGAGAAGGAAGTGAAGAAGAGCTAGGCCGTTCATGCGAAGCGTAGTCGCCGTTCCTCATCGTCTTCGTAGTTCCAACGCATTGTTTAGAGGTGAGTAGTTGTCCCCTCTAATTCTAGAACTTAGTTATAATCTATGTTGTTATATTCATAGGAATATCGTACGCAACCTACGTAGAATCTATGCATGTTCGTAGGTTAACCATCAAAACGTTCACTACGTAAACTTATATATATTGGCCTAGGAATCACTAGGAATATACCCCAAAAATGTTAGACTTTCAAACGGATCAAAACGTAGCCAAAGACAGAAGACTGTCTTCGGGACGGTCGACCGCCACTACAGACGGTGGACCGTTCCCTCGGCCATTCCGACAGTCTCCACCGTGACGGTCGACCACCGGCCGTGACGGTGGACTGTTTGAGACCCAGACCTAGACCATAGCCCACGGTCGACCGCTGGTAGGGCACGGTCGACCGTTCCTCGGGCAGGTTTCCAGGCAGTTTGTGGAACGAGCCCCGTTGACCACATTGACCCAGAATCGGTTTGTAATCTTGCATGAAATGTTAATCTTCGTTATAAATGTTTGTTTAATTGATATATTCTTGGCGTTGATCAAAGGTAAATATATCAAGCTTTCATCATGTTCATTCTAGACACATGTCTTAGGTTTTTCATCATGTGCATACCGCTCTAGGGAGGTCAGGCTTTCGTGCGCCTACTACAATGGGCCTGTCCAGGAATCTTTGGGATCCAACGGGTTTTCTTCAAGTGGGCCTTGTGTACGTACATAGTAGTCAGGTTACGGCTACTACCCGGTTTTTTCTAGTCCACTTGTGACGTTTACGTCGAGCCCGGCTCATTAGCGTTTTGGTATGATAACCGGAGTGCAGGGGTGATCCTGTCAAGTGAGACTAAGCCAGGGGTGTCCCTGATAGTTTAAGTCATGCATCGAGTCATATCATCATCATGTGTGTTCCATATCACATCAACATTCAATGTGATTATATATATATCATTTTGTTATGTGTATTAGTACCCCTTCAAGTGCAAACTCAACAGTTAGTAAACATGTGTTTTTCCGTACGTAAAGTATAGGTATTAATATGTGTATAACCATATGGGTTATCACTTTATGTTCCTTTGTTAGATTCACTCCTCAGCTTTTGCTGAGCGTGTAGTTGTTTTTGCTACACACAGGTAGACACGACAGTATTGGTGCTAACCCTGGTGGACAGTGACGATGGAAGATGGGCGGTGCATGGACGAGTTTATTATTTATAAAAATTTAATTAATCATTTGGGCATGAACCCACCATGTGTCGTTTTGTTTATTTTGGACTGGACTTATTTATTTACTTCCGCTTTTACTCTATAATTATATCATAGACGTTTTGGGTGTAACTCCCTAGCATTTATTCCACTAATGAAATCTAACCGTTTTCCTAATAAATGAACATTAATGTTATCCGCTACAGACGGTTCTCGGACCACCCATATAACCCTACCGGACCGTTGGGTCGCGGGTGAACCGGGTCCACGGAAGGCGGGTGTTACAATAGGACTTGCAAGATCAACTTGTAGAAAAGTTGATGTGCCCCGTTTTTATCAAGAAGTTTGATTAAAAGTTGTATCCTTCAACGTGGTGTGGTACTTGAGGCAAGGAAACCTTCAAGTGTTTACACTATAGCTCTTTGGAAGGAGGAGGAGTTTGCTTCTGGATAAGGAGTTTAGAAATCTCTCTTTATCAAGCTTTTTGGCTAACTGTGAATGAGATAGCTTTGGTTGTAGTTTGTTGTGTTTGTCGTTGTTGTTTTGGGTTCTATCTTATCTTCTTCAGTCTTCAATGAGAGCTATATATAGGCTGGATGGATAATCTATCTGTTGAAGGGAATAGACTATCTGTTGCATTTGCTGGCTTCAATTTGAACGAAGAGTGAGATTGAGGAATCTTCATTAGAATGGGTGTTTGGACATACCCAATTGTTTGAAGAAGGATTTCTTTTTCACAGAGTCCGTCCTCTAGTTGTTGTTCAACAATTCTGGACTGTAGCTCTTTATTGAGTGGAGTACTCATTTTGTTTTCTTGTGTTTGTTTAGGAATTCTAGGCATGCTCTTCAATTTGAGAGGTCCAGACTTTGTCTTCAAGTCATTTGTTCTTGAATCAGCTTAATTATCCTCAATCTAGCCGTTGAAAATCAAGAAATTGATTTTTCCTTACCAACGGGTAGAGTTTCTTCATTCATGACTTAGATATTTTTCTAAGTCTTTTCTCACTAGTGTGCTTCTGAGAGTTCCGGTTTTCCTTGAGACATCTGGTTCTTTAGCTGACAGTTCCGGATTAGTCATTCTTAGACTTCCGAGTGAGAAAGAAATCCGCGCTAGTCTTCCAATCCGAATGACTTAGACTTCAGCGGGTTGTTGCGAGACGTCCCGGTATCATAGAGTATTTCGGATTTTAGAATCTTCAAAGTAACCAACTGCTTTGCGAATTCCTTACTTGTCTCTGACATTTACGAGCAAGAATTCCAATTTCCATATCACTGAATTTGATTAAGTCTTCAAAGTTTGACATCAAACCACAAAGTGAAATATTACAAGTTTTATCGGAAATCTCAAGAACTCAGTTTTAACAATATTTCTAAAAAGAAAATTACATTGAGTATTGGGGGTGACCTAAAGTCTGTATTACAATCTAAATACATCATCATCAAAATCTATAATTTTTCCTAACAATTAATATTCAAAGTCTTTACACACTCTTCCTCAGCTTCTCCATCTTTGTAGTTTGAGATCTCCAGGGAAATCGGTTCTCTCACTACTTCAGCATTTTGTTGCTCAAAGATAGCAACTGGAGTTCTAGTAGCCTCTAGTCTAGCTATCTGAGCATCTTCTGCAACTTCTTCAAGGCTTCTTTGAGCTTCCACTTCTGGTTCTCCATGAGCTTCTTCTCCTGTGATATCTGGAGGAGTGGACTTTGACAGTTCGTCCACATGCTCTTCTGACTTTTCCTGAATTCCATGTCCAGCTAGATTGGAGATCTCACAAGTGGTTGTGAGAATCTCTTGAACTTGTAATTGGAGGGATTGGAGAATTTCTTCTTCTTCTTCTTCTTCTGCTTGAATCTTTTCTTCATATTGAGAGATGGCAGCATTCTCCTTATCAGTTCCAAAAAAGCAGTTTCCAATGCAGGGGAGTTTTCCGAAAAGATTGGAAAATCCTCTGCTCTAGCTTCCAAGTCTGTTGGATTTCTGCAGTGATGTTTTTGTTGGGAAACGAGGCTTGGATAACGCAGCAGAAAACAAAAATTTATAGTCCAAAACTCGATTCCACCCAAGAACAACATACGTAAATTACTAACTATAGTAAGAAATTTACCTTAACGGTGAAAACGAATATCGGAGGAACGGTCGGGGATGGTTTTGAGGAGATGAACGTAGCGCCAAACGTATGAAGCCTCCAACGTATCCACACGAACTTGCTCCAGAGTCCAAGATTAAACTTGTGCTAGCATGTTTAATATAGGATAGTAAAAACTATAATAATACTAGTTTGGGAGTAATAAATACTCCCTCCGTCCCCCTAAGATGTTCTCATTTTCACTTTTGGTGGTTTTTAAGGAGAGTTGAAAAAAGGTGAAAGTTTACCATAATACCCTTAATGAAAATGAGTGGAGTGTATTAAATGGGGTGGATGAGGTGTAATAAATAAAGTAAGTGGGGGTAATTGTGGTATTTTAATTGTTAAAAAATGAAATGAGAAGATCTATTGTGGACAAAGAAAAAGGGCTATTGAGAAGATCTATGAGGGACGAAGGGAGTATATAGTAAAATATTTATCTTATAAATATTTGTTTATAATATTTTGTGTATATTTCTAAAACTTTAGAAAAATAACTTTGAACACAAAATAAAATTTTCTTCTCTCTAAAATTGGGATGGCCGAAAGTTGTGTGTGTATATTAAAAATCAAGACTTCATTTTATAATAAAGTATATTTAGGAAATTGCTAGGAAATTAATGTTAAGCATAAGTACATGCATATGTCATAACACCATGTGTAAATGTTTAATATCTTAGCTACCAAACAAAATAGAATCCATACATCAAATAATAATCAAATATATCAATTTGACATTAAAAATACTTTATGTATAAAATCAAAATGGTCTTGGATTTTTCCTCTTGAAATTTCGGTCATCCCATATTTGAAATATATCATATTTTATTTTTGACATCAATAATTATCATATAATTAAAATGATTAAAAATAAAATAATATATATATATATATACACATTCGGCGCTACATATATATATATATAATAAAATTTGTTTTGTCAAAATATAATTATCATATAATTAAAATGACACAAACAAAATATAATTTTAAAATACATATGTATTTTCGAAATACATATATATGTATAAAATGATCACAACTATATATTTAATATTACTCCCACTAGTGTAGTATACTACTCATTTACAAGTCCTAAGTGTGTGACCCTTTAGGTATCCATAACACTGGCAATGATATTAATAAAATTAATACCATAGATAATAAGCGGTATCTAGCAACACATTATTATCCCCAGATTATGAAAAAGACGTTCATCTCATCAATACCTTCTATGACACAAGACAATCTATAACTATTATCCTTCTGTCCTAAATGTCATGATTTAACACAAGGCATGGGATGTGTATACTTGTATAGTTAAATCAGCTGTTACTGAATCTCAAGTAGACTGGCAGGGATCAGATATTTATCAGTCTCTAGATAGCAACATATCTAGGCATGGCCATGCACTTTCCCAAGTCCTACTATTCGGTGGGCCCATTGACATTATACTTCTATACAGTAGAAGGGACAGATCCTGTATCTGTTATTCACATCTCTAAATATGCTTAGCGGCATACCCAACGCATAACTGTACGTCTACCAGTATTTCAGATAGCATTAGTTATGAATCAAAGCATACGACCCCACATATCAGAGAATGTAATAACTTCAAGTCTGAGGATAGTTATAGCAAGGTCGATTTGAGAATACTGATAAACACATTACTGTAGATCCATGCAGTATTCTCAAGATGGGTCAATCCAGTCACATATTATCGATATAATATGCACCTACGTACAGATTAAGATATCACAATACCTATACTCTATGAGGTGCAACTATCTCATCTCGTACGTACTAGTCTTGATACGTTATGACGTCCGTATTATCATAAAGTGCGACTAGGGATATTCTAGACATAGCCTTCGTCAAGAAGTAACAGTCTCATAATCAGAACATCGTAGTCCTCATCTATGTTACTGAAGCGCTATCGTTTATGGACTGAAGCTATGTTATGTTACACGAGATATAAAACATACTTCAAGGCCTTTCATTCATGATAAAGTGTACAGTTACATAGGTATTTGATTGCCTCTAGGGCACCTAAATACAACAGTTTTCAGCCTGATTATCAGCTGGTCTTGAGAAGATAGGCTTGTAGACAGTTGTGTCCTCATCATCAGTGTCAAAGGTTGTTGAGGATGACAAGTGTTCCAACTGCAAACCTTCATTGGTTTTCCAGAAGATCTAATCTTCATTAAGAATTTCTTCACATGAGCAAGGCAGTGGCCAAGCCAAGACATCTCTTGATGGTTTTCTCATGCTCAAATTGGTCCCAGTCATTCAGCTGATCCTTTGTGTTTCCAACCTTCCAATCTCTCCAATCTGAGTACATTTGGATGAGTTTGTCAAATCTTTTATCAGAGAGCGGTTGGGTGGAAGAGGTTGGGAGACTTTGTTCATGATTGGTCTCTGCATCAAGAGGCTGTGAACTATCCTGAGGATGGTTCTGCTATGAGTTCTCCGCGTTGACATTTCCGGATGTGGAGATTCTTCTCTTCTTCCTCTTTTGAAGCTGTCCTTGAGATGAGACCTCTTCTTCATCCAAATTTACCGCCTCAAGGTCTCGTGGTTCTTCAGCACAAGGGGAGGAAGATACCACTTGCTTCCTCTTTGAAGATTTCTTCAAGGTGACAGCCAGAACTTCATCTGAAGATCCTTCTTCTTCAGCAACAGAGCTGGATCTTTTCTTGCCATCAGAGGCAATATCCATAGACTCCAGTACATGGCCATTGTACAGTCCTTGACAGAGGAACTTCTGCCTGGGTTGGCCTATGTGCTTTGAAATGGAATTGAAGAATTGTTTAGCCCAATTTACCTTGGTTTTGCTGATGAGGGCATAGATAATGAAGGCTCTCTCCTGGGTGATGTCATCTGCATGTCCTCCACTTCCACATTCTAGACATCTGATGACAAGCTCCAAGATTAGCTTGTTATCATTCTTAAAATCACCCTTCTTTGCTGGGCTAGAGGGGACTTGTCCAGAATTCACAATTTTATTCCAGTCCAGATTCTTTGGTGAAAGCTTTCCAACATCAATTCCAAAATTTGGAAGATGAAGCTTTGTTTGCAGTTTCTTCTATGAGATTTTTACTCTTGAGCCTCCAACAGTTGATTTAATGACTTGAATCGACCGTCTTGGATCCTTCTTAGATTGGACGGTTTGAACTTCTCCATTTCTGTAGAATTCTAGAACCTCTTCTTCATATTTGGAGTGAATTTCCAAATGGAGGAAATCCAAGAGTCCTTGAGCTTCAATAATTTCAAGGTAGGTTGCGTAAAATGCTAGGGATGAGCATTTTGTTTCCAATTTCTTGAAATGGACATTTGCGCCTCCAATCTTCATTTTTTTGAGTTTTTGTGAGAAGGATTTAGGAGAAATCAGGGTTCTTCTGAGATTTATCGCGAGGAAGACGACGAAGAATTGAGTGGGCAGAGTGGGTAGTTGAGATCTGAGATAGTGGCAATTGGGTTTAATTTGGGCGAATTATACGGCTGGTGGCGATTGGGTTTTTAACTGTTCCCAAGGCCACGTGCCCACGCGATGCTTAATCAGACGTGGTATGTATGCTGCACGTGTACTGCACTCAGTCTAATAAAACTAGACCAATTTTGTGAAGTAATTCAGAAAACCTGGCTTCACTTAGTGGTTTTGTGAAGATATCCGCCAATTGTTCTTCGGTTGAGACGTACTCAATTCTGATATCCTTCTTCTCAACATGATCTCTGATGAAGTGATGCTTGACATCAATGTGCTTAGTGCAAGAATGATGCACTGGATTTTGTGAAATGGCTATAGCACTTTGATTGTCACAAAATATTGTCACTTCTTTTGTTTTGACTCCATAGTCTAGGAGTTGTTGCTTTAGCCACAAGATCTGAGCACAACAACTACCAACAGCAATATACTCTGCTTCTGTTGTTGATGTAGAGATGGAGCTCTGTTTCTTAAAGAACCAAGAAACAAGATTTCCGCCAATGAACTGACAAGTCCCAGAGGTACTTTTCCGGTCAACTTTACATCCGGCAAAGTCAGAATCTGAGTATCCCACTAACTCAACATGTTCTGCAACTAGATGGCTTTCCTTTGCCTTGGCTTGAAATCTAGCACAAATGCCTACTGCATATGAGATATCCGGACGGCTTGCAGTAAGGTAGAGTAGAGATCCAACTATTCCTCTGTAGAGAGTTTGGTCAACATCCTTTCCATCTACATCCATATCAAGTTTGGTGGATGTGCTCATGGGGACAGAAACGGATGACTTTTGATCAACTTTGAACTTCTTGATAAGATCCCTTGTGTTTTTGGCTTGATTGATGAGAGTCCCTTCACTCCTCCTTGATTTGAAGACCAAGAAAGTAATTGAGTTCCCCCATCATGCTCATATCAAATTTTCCTTGCGTGAGGGTGGAGAACTTTGTGCAAAGAGCTTCCTTAGTTGAGCCAAATTGAAGGATAAATTGTGCTCTACTCCTATTGTTCAAGCTCCTAATTGGGATTTACCTTTTGAATTGATGTGTGACGCTAGCGATAGAGCTGTAGGAGCTGTTTTAGGACAGAAGTTAGGCACTGCCTCTTATGTAATCCAGTATGCTAGTTGTACCCTTGACCCTGCCCAAGTCAATTACACAGTTACTGAGAAGGAAATGTATGTTGTTGTATTTGGGCTTGAGAAATTTAAGTCATATCTTTTAGGTGTTAAGGTACACATTCACACCGATCATTCTGCACTTAAGTATTTAATGAGCAAAAAGGATAGCAAACCTAGACTCATCCGGTGGATTCTTTTAATGCAAGAATTTGATTTTGAAATTAAAGATAGGGCAGGTAAACTTAATCAAGTTGCTGATCACCTTAGTCGTTTAGAAGGACCACCGTCCAATCCTAGTCATTTCACAGGATCCTTTCCAGATGAGAGTCTGTTGGCACTTTCTACCATCCCTTGGTTTGCTGAGATTGTTAATTTTAAGGTTACCAAGACCTTTCCTCGTTATATGCCTAAGTCCCTACGTGAAAAAATTCTGTCTCAAGATAGATTTTACATATGGGATGACCCTTATCTTTGGAGAATATGCTCTGACCAGATTATTAGACGATGCGTAGATGACTNTTTGGGCTTGAGAAATTTAAGTCATATCTTTTAGGTGTTAAGGTACACATTCACACTGATCATTCTGCACTTAAGTATTTAATGAGCAAAAAGGATAGCAAACCTAGACTCATCCGGTGGATTCTTTTAATGCAAGAATTTGATTTTGAAATTAAAGATAGGGCAGGTAAACTTAATCAAGTTGCTGATCACCTTAGTCGTTTAGAAGGACCACCGTCCAATCCTAGTCATTTCACAGGATCCTTTCCAGATGAGAGTCTGTTGGCACTTTCTACCATCCCTTGGTTTGCTGAGATTGTTAATTTTAAGGTTACCAAGACCTTTCCTCGTTATATGCCTAAGTCCCTACGTGAAAAAATTCTCTCAAGATAGATTTTACATATGGGATGACCTATATCTTTGGAGAATATGCTCTGACCAGATTATTAGACGATGCGTAGATGACTCTGAGATTCCTTCTATTCTGAATTTTTGCCACTCCTTAGAGAGTGGTGGACATTTTGGACCATATAGGACAGCCCATAAAGTGATGGAATCTGGTTTTTATTGGCCTACTATACATAAAGATGCTGCTGATTTTTGTAACAAATGTCCAAAATGCCAAAAAACTGGTAATCTTTCCACTAAGAATCAAATGCCCTTGACTCCTATTTATGTGTGTGAACTGTTTGATGTATGGGGTGTTGATTTCATGGGTCCTTTTCCTCCTTCTTATGGTTATGTTTACATTTTGCTCTTTGTTGATTACCTGTCTAAGTGGATTGAAGCTATACCCACCAGGAAAGATGATGCTCAAACTGTGGCTAAGTATGTTAGATCTCACATAATCCTTACATATGGCTTTCCTAAGATTCTCATTAGTGATAGAGGCACTCATTTTTGCAATAGAACATTAGAGAACCTTTGCTCTAAGTATCATATCGCCCATAGGATTTCCACTTCCTATCACCCCCAAACCAATGGACAAGCCGAGATAAGCAATAGGGAAGTGAAGAGTATTTTAGAAAAGGTAGTGAGACCGGATAGGAAAGATTGGAGTGATAGATTAGACGAGGCTTTATGGGCCTATAGAACTGCATATAAGACTCCTCTAGGTATGTCTCCCTACAAGATAGTATTTGGAAAACCTTGTCGCCTTCCGGTAGAATTAGAACATAAATCATATTGGGCTGTTAAACAGGTTAATCTTGATTATGATTTGGTAGGAAAACACAGAAAACTGCAGATTCAAGAGCTTGAGGAGATTAGACTAGAAGCTTATGATAACTCAGTGATATATAAGGATAAAGCAAAAGCCTTTCATGACTCTAAGCTTTCTAGAAAACACTTTGAGATAGGAGATAAAGTTCTTCTTTATAACTCTAAGCTTAGACTTTTTCCAGGAAAACTTAGCTCTAGATGGTTAGGACCCTACACCGTTCTTAAAACTTATAACCATGGAGCGGTAGACATTAAGAATGAATCCTCTAGAGTTACTTTCAAGGTAAATGGTCATAGGTTAAAACTTTTTCGTGAGGGAGGATTTGCAGGATTAGTGGAGGAGTTATAACTAGAAGCCAAACATTAGAACTCTTCCTAGTTTCGTCTAGCCAAAGACGTTAAATCTGGCAGCTTATGGGAGGCAACCCACCTACTTTTCTTGCTCTTTCTTTAATTTTATTGCTTATTAATCTTTAGCTTTTGTTAAAAACACAAAAAAATGAAAAAAACTTCATCATCAAGAGTACTCCATATGCTGCTGCTTTAGCTGTTTCTTAATGGTCTATTTTTGCTCCATTTATGCTTTTAACCATTTATTTGTGTGAAAACGCAAGGGCTATTAAGTCATAGGTAGAAGCATAGTTATTAATGGCGAGTGGCGAGGGGCGGGCGAGAGGACCTTTTTTATGGCGAGAGGCGTGGCGAGAGGCGGTCGGTCAAATGGCGAACATGCATGCATGCATACAGACATACATATATATATACACACGCACACGCACACAAACACATATGTATGTATGTATGTATGTATGTATGTGTATGTGTATGTGTATGTGTATGTGTATGTGTATGTGTATGTGTATGTGTATGTGTATGTGTATGTGTATGTGTATGTGTATGTGTATGTGTATGTGTATGTGTATGTGTATGTGTATGTGT